TCTGTATTTAAGTATAGTCCTTTGTTTTACTTTGTCTTTATAAGACACACGTTTTGTGCAATTATATTTTTTGTACATTTTATTGGGTGGCAAAAGTTCTTTATATCTTAATCTGTTCTGAGATTTGAGATTTTCCCTATATGTTATTTCGGTTGAATATTTAAGAGTTTTCTTCCACGTACACTTTCGATTTAAAAACTTAGAAGTGCGTGAACTTTTAATACTGCCTATATATTTTTTAGCATTTTTCAGTACTTTTTGAGATGTTGAACGTAGATAATGTTTCTCTGATAAATCACTGACTTTACAAAATCCAAAGCAAGTTTTATCATCAACCCCTTTTAGACAAATAACTGGTTGAAAATGACCAATACAGTTTTGTAGATATATTCCTTCATTGTTGAAATGACTGCTGTTGCAACTATATTTAATCCACTTTATGCCAGTAAATATATAAATGTGTAGTCCCAACATATTTGCTGTTGCTTTAATTTCAATATCTGTTGCACAGTGATCTAGATACTTGATCTGTGACTTGTCAACATATTCTAACACAGAAGCAAAGTCTTTTCCCAGGAACTTTTCAAATTCCTGTGTATTATTTGTCATGTATGAAATAGCAGCAAGCCGAATTTTACGATGGTTTTTTTGAGAACCACTAACTGTATGAGCAACAGCTCTGAAGAAGCTGTTATTGTCTTGTACTATATTTTTAGTTTGACACACATTTCCTAAAGACCCAGATGTAGGTTTTTGAAAATTGTATTTGTCAAAATCAATATTCAACCTGTTGCAAAGAGCTTGACAAACATTAGCAGACAGAGAAGTAAATAAAAACGTGTTTTCATCATGATTATCAATAATTTGAACACAATCATCATTTTTTTGAAACCGCACTTCATCTTTGTCAATTTCCACAGATACAATCTTTTGTTTGGCAGAAGATTGTCGAGTTATACGGTTTTGTGAAACATCTTTAGTCATGCAATAACCATAGCATGTTTGTGAATTAGGTGATTTAACACAAACAACTGTTTCATAATGATTACCATTGACATTTTGCA